ATGGGTATGAGTTTAGTGGGTAGTGGGCAGGTGTGGATGTAAAAGTCATACCCACCGTCGGTAGTGAGTAGGTGATAGATTTAAGACCTTATCTGCCCCGCATCCTCCTGTCTCGAATCCGCTCGCCCGATTAATTACCTACTGTATAAATTTTAGACCATTATGAATTTAGGTATAATTTCATAGACAAATTAATAAATCTTAAAATTTTATAGAATATGACTTATTATTTAACCAAATGTATACATTATTTTAAAGTCAGTTTTTCATCTTTAGAATCAATTTTTCTTTATCGGACTAGTGATTGTCGCCTCCGTTCGTGCTTTTCTTTCTACCTTTGTCTTCTCTTGTAAGTTTTTCTTCGCATATTCATTTTAAAGTAAATTTAAAGTACATCACATTCCTTCAAATAAAACAAAAGATATACATTTTTTTCCTTCTAAATCTGTATATATTTTTTCATCTAAATTCTGGGTTTTCAATGTAGGTACTGGTGAATTTAATTGGAGCGTTCTCAATTGAAGGACATAGAAAATGATGATTGTTATATTGAAGTAACAGACGTGACAAATATTTCCTGAAATTTGAGAATGTTGTGCCAAAGAACAAAAATATTGTGTGTTTGTCACTTATGTTTCTAAACTTTAATTATGTCTTTTATTTACGGTGTTTTATGTTTAAGACTTTAGTTTATTTTAAAATCTATGTTAATCCTTAACTCAGATAATCATTGGTTTATTTTATTATGTTTTTAATGGACGTGTTTGTTTTATATTTTGTTGCTTATGTAGTTCGTAAGGTAGCTGTCAGGTGGGTATGAGCGGGTACAGATAGGGTTGTTCATTCGGTTAATTCGATGGCCGAACCGACCGAACTACCATTAATCGAATTAACCGAACTTTTTTTTCTTTAATCGTTAACCGAACCGAACTTTTTTTCGAAAATATTAACCGAACCGAATAAATTTCGGTTAATTTTCGAATTAACCGAAATTTTTTAGAATTTTCGAATTTAATATTTTTTTAATTAAAAAACAGTTTACAATATCTAATTAATTTGATTTAAACATTATATTAAAATAAGATATTTATATCTATCAATTTAGTTCAAACAAACCAACAAATTTGAAATTCTACAAAATAAATGGTGCATGAAGGTTGTGCTAACTGCAACTCGACAGCTACTATTGCAGTATTGCTAGATGAAATGCTTGATTTTTTTTATGCTACAATCAGGAAGATAGCTAGCTCCTTTGTGCAGGACTTACTGCACAAGCCTCTTGAACATGAAGTGGATGATGAAGGCAAGAAAGTTGTGATCGGAGATGGCATAAATCTGGGTGGCGACCGAGATTAGGCTAATGCAGTGGCAAGGTTGGTGAGGAAGGTTCACTCTGCTGCTGGTTGGAAATGTTTGTAGCACTGTATCTTTTATCTTTCCCACTTCAGAGAAATTCTAAGAACTACTATCATTCACTATTTGATCTTTTGGATGCATTAGGGAAATTATATGCAAATATATCTACTATGCATGATGGGAAGATCAGAAAGTTTAGATTAATGAATTACACATTCAAGAAATGGTTGTAAGTTCCTATGATGTCAAACGCGTGCTCCACCTGCCCATGCACGTGCCCATACCTTACACAAATCAAGACATAAAATAATTGGTAACCGAATAGCAGGAAGTGGGAGGCAGCATATTATGGGGTGAAAAAAATAATAAAAAATATTTAAGGGTTAATTCAGTTAATTAACCGATTTCAAACCGAATTAACCTTTAACCGAATTCTAAAAATTTTCTTAACCGTTAACCGAACTAACTTGGTTCGGTCGGTTAACCGAATTAGTTCGAAAATTTAAACATCCCTAGGTACAGACAGGTACGAGATGGATAGTCGGTATCTAGTTGGGTAATGGGTGTAGCGATGGATTTGATAATGTATTAGTGTGGGCGGATATGAATTTAAAATTTTTACCCGTCTTGGGTAATGAGTAGGTAGTGAGTACAAAAATATTATGTGGATATGAGGTTGGGAAAGAGATATCCACACTCACCCCGCCTGTTTGCCATCCCTAATCCCACCTTTGTCAACTAGAAAGTATCCACTTTTTGTTCTTTAGTCTCTTTGCTTTACTGGGAAACTCGAGCTTTTAGCAATGGGTGAACAAGGAAGAAGAAAGATGGTTGCTCTGTTTCAATGTAAATTCTTGGCTGTTGCTATGGGTGAACAAGCTCCTATCCCGACTCGATCAGTTGATACTCGACGTTATTGTTTGAAAGATATTGTTTGGCTGGGAAGTTTTATATTAGATTTGTTAAGAATATAATAAGTTCACAAGTTAGTTTGGTGGTTGGGTTTTTTTTATTTTTGTTCATGAAAAACCTCAATTCGAATCTTATAAAAAGCAATTTTTCATTTGAGTATCAAAACAGTTACGTCAGAACAACGTTATTTTAGTGAGGGAGTCACGTCAACAACAACACGGCACGGAGATGCCATGTCATCATGCCGTTAAGCCATTAACGGCAGGGTGACATAATTACAATTAAACTTAAACGTCAGTGTTAAAATTGATAAAATTGAATAAATAAACCCGAGCTTAAAAGTGAGTGGTAATTGAAGTAGTTTACTGTTTAAATAAAATTAGTTATTTCTATATATATATAGAAACCCATTAATTCAATTCATCCTTTGCTTTCCCTACAAGATATGATAAAAACTGGGGAAATTAAGAACACATATCCAGGAAAGGACAGAAACATGTTAGATGAGAAATGGAATCCCTTGCTGCATGTCTCAAAGCTATTCTCTTCTCTCCTTTTCACGTATATAATAAGCTGTGAATTCTTCTTCCATGATCTGAAGAGGAAAATAAAAAAGCATTTCTAAAAACACACAATTAATCCCCATTTTCATAAAAAAAACATGTCTTTAAGCAGCCATCTTCGTCCTCGTGTTAATGTCAGTGGAGTCCTAACGATGAGAACTTATCATTACTTCAGGTGTCTCCGTTGCCAACGAACCATAAGGTTCACCGATTCAAACCCTTTTGGAAGTTTTTGTTCCCATTGTTGTCGTCAACTTAGTCACGAGCTTGATGTCATAAGGCCTAGGCTTCGAGCCGATCATGGCCTCGACCCTTTTATGATTATCACTCTCGTCGAACGACCTCGACAGCAGCCGAGTGCTGTTGATGCACTTGAAGATACAGGCAATGAGTTAGATGGCTTCGAGACAGACAGGCCAGTGCCTCCACCGGCAGCTGCTTCGGCCATCGAGGCATTGCCGATGGTGAAAATCACGGAAAACCATCTGATCCATGCGGCGCATTGCCCCGTTTGCAAGGAGGAATTCGTGGTCGATGGCGAAGCAAAAGAGCTGCCGTGCAACCATTTGTATCACTCTGATTGCATTGTGCCTTGGCTGAGCATTCACAACACCTGCCCCGTTTGTCGCTCCGAGATCAATGACGATAATGACACGGTTGACACTGCCGCCGCATACAACAACAATGATCAAACCGTTGAAATGTTTTTCCGGGACATCGGTTTCGTTGTCGACGATCTTGCCAATGGACTGACCCGGTTACGAGCTCGGTTCCTCTCTTCGGGGCCTCTTCAGGCATTCTCTCATTGGACATACCGGTATCTCTCCCGCGGGGGTAGGATATATCGCCAGAGCTTAATCTTCTCCTTGTTTATGGTTTACATACATATATATATATGTATATATGCATGAATGTATACTATTAACATTTATGAGTAATTAATCCATGCATGCACACATACATACATTTATATAGCAATTCTGTAACACAGCTGCTATGATTTTTACCACAGCTAGCTCCTGGTGGCCATCTTGGCTCATTCTATAGCTTCTGTCAAGAAATCACCCGCCTGCAACCGCTGGTAATGTTTTCCAACACTTTGGAAGGCAGGTATGTATATGTTATACTTTCAAGAAAAAATATTTATGGGAAAATTACAATATATTGGAGCCTTGTCAGGTATGTTGTTACTGTTCTTTTCCTTTCGTGTCTGTTCTGCAACATGTTCCAATTCACCTTCGGCAAAGAAAAAAACAAAATTCCATTGGAGATCAAGTTGTTTCATGGTTTCATCATTCTTGTTGTTGCTAGCAAATTTTCTTACTTGTGTTCTTATGTATCTGCAGTTTTCTCACCACATGAAGACAAAATGGGTGTTATGTTCATGTAAATATTCATGGTTTCGTGTTTAATCATAGTTTCATAGAACACACAACTGATATATTCATGTATTTATTCACAAAGTACCCGGCAGATTCTCTACGCCGCCGGCTCAGCCATAGGGTTCCTCCTCCGCTCCTCCCACAAGGAACCCTCAATTATCAGTGTAAACTGCCTAGCTTCAAAGACTAACTTATGCTGATCTGCAGGCTTTTTGATGCACACAGCTAGCTGATAACACAAGGGAAGCTGTGCTGTCTGTTGCTTGCTTGTAGGGGTGTAAATAAACCTAACATTCGACCAACAGTTTGTATAAAAGAATATAAACAGAAAATATAACTTTCGTTTATACAAACAGAAAACTTATATTCGTTTAGTAAATAAATGAACATAAGTATAACTGTTTAGTTCGTTTATGTTCATGAACTAGCTAGTTTATCATCTCATTTATGAGATCTTTTATAAGTTCATTTACTTGATTCTCATTTTATTTTTATTTTTTTTACGTTTTAAATATTGGTGAAAGTTGAGATTAAAGTAGATAGGCTTAATTATAAAATAAATGCTCAAACTATATCGTTTTTTCTAAATAGGTACCTAAACTTTTTTTTTTGAATCATCGAGGTGTCTAACACTACAAATGTTATCATTTTATGTCTCAAAGCTATTCTCTTCTCTCCTTTTCACGTATATAATAAGCTGTGAATTCTTCTTCCATGATCTGAAGAGGAAAATAAAAAAGCATTTCTAAAAACACACAATTAATCCCCATTTTCATAAAAAAAAAACATGTCTTTAAGCAGCCATCTTCGTCCTCGTGTTAATGTCAGTGGAGTCCTAACGATGAGAACTTATCATTACTTCAGGTGTCTCCGTTGCCAACGAACCATAAGGTTCACCGATTCAAACCCTTTTGGAAGTTTTTGTTCCCATTGTTGTCGTCAACTTAGTCACGAGCTTGATGTCATAAGGCCTAGGCTTCGAGCCGATCATGGCCTCGACCCTTTTATGATTATCACTCTCGTCGAACGACCTCGACAGCAGCCGAGTGCTGTTGATGCACTTGAAGATACAGGCAATGAGTTAGATGGCTTCGAGACAGACAGGCCAGTGCCTCCACCGGCAGCTGCTTCGGCCATCGAGGCATTGCCGATGGTGAAAATCACGGAAAACCATCTGATCCATGCGGCGCATTGTCCCGTTTGCAAGGAGGAATTCGTGGTCGATGGCGAAGCAAAAGAGCTGCCGTGCAACCATTTGTATCACTCTGATTGCATTGTGCCTTGGCTGAGCATTCACAACACCTGCCCCGTTTGTCGCTCCGAGATCAATGACGATAATGACACGGTTGACACTGCCGCCGCATACAACAACAATGATCAAACCGTTGAAATGTTTTTCCGGGACATCGGTTTCGTTGTCGACGATCTTGCCAATGGACTGACCCGGTTACGAGCTCGGTTCCTCTCTTCGGGGCCACTTCAGGCATTCTCTCATTGGACATACCGGTATCTCTCCCGCGGGGGTAGGATATATCGCCAGAGCTTAATCTTCTCCTTGCTTATGGTTTACATACATATATATATATATATATGTATATATGCATGAATGTATACTATTAACATTTATGAGTAATTAATCCATGCATGCACACATACATACATTTATATAGCAATTCTGTAACACAGCTGCTATGATTTTACCACAGCTAGCTCCTGGTGGCCATCTTGGCTCATTCTATAGCTTCTGTCAAGAAATCACCCGCCTTCAACCGCTGGTAATGTTTTCCAACACTTTGGATGGCAGGTATGTATATGTTATACTTTCAAGAAAAAATATTTATGGGAAAATGACAATATATTGGAGCCTTGTCAGGTATGTTGTTACTGTTCTTTTCCTTTCGTGTCTGTTCTGCAACATGTTCCAATTCACCTTCGGCAAAGAAAAAAACAAAATTCCATTGGAGATCAAGTTGTTTCATGGTTTCATCATTCTTGTTGTTGCTAGCAAATTTCTTACTTGTGTTTATGTATCTGCAGTTTTCTCACCACATGAAGACAAAATGGGTGTTATGTTCATGTAAATATTCATGGTTTCGTGTTTAATCATAGTTTCATAGAACACACAACTGATATATTCATGTATTTATTCACAAAGTACCCGGCAGCTTCTCTACGCCGCCGGCTCGGCCATAGGGTTCCTCCTCCGCTCCTCCCACAAGGAACCCTCAATTATCAGTGTAAACTGCCTAGCTTCAAAGACTAACTTATGCTGATCTGCAGGCTTTTTGATGCACACAGTTAGCTGATAACACAAGGGAAGCTGTGCTGTCTGTTGCTTGCTTGTACGGGTGTAAATAAACCTAACATTCGACCAACAGTTTGTATAAAAGAATATAAACAGAAAATATAACTTTCGTTTATACAAACAGAAAACTTATATTCGTTTAGTAAATAAATGAACATAAATATAACTGTTTAGTTCGTTTATGTTCATAAACTAGTTAGTTTATCAACTCGTTTATGAGATCTTTTATAAGTTCATTTACTTGATTTTCCTTTTATTTTATTTTATTTTACGTTTTAAATATCGGTGAAAGTTGAGATTAAAGTAGATAGGCTTAATTATAAAATAAATGTTCAAACTATATCATTTTTTCTAAATAGATATCTAAACTTTTTTTTTTGAATCATCGAGGTGTCTAACACTACAAATATTATCATTTTATGTGCTAAGGACGTAACGGCGACATGTATCATAATCTAGTAAATTTGAAAATTTTAATTTAAAATAACTTTAAAATATTGTTATATTTAAAAAAAACTTAAACTTTTCTATTTTACAAAAATACCCCACAATTCATAAAAACTCTAAGATGGCGTTTGGTTAGATGTAATCACTTGGAATTGGTGGGAATTGGAATTCAATTCCACCACTTTTCCATGTTTGGTTCAAGTTTTGCAAGGGAATTGGAATCCCTGGTGGAATTTAATTCCATCAAATGAGGGAAAGTGAATTTCATCCAAAAATAGATGGAATTCAATTCATTTGTTGGAGAGAATTGAAATTTGATCATACTACCCTCATCAATCATTTGGTAACTTATTCATATATTAAATAAAAATATTTTTTTATTATTTCGGGTCGGGTTTCTAATTCATATATTCGGGTCGAGTCTGGTGAAACTTTATTTTGGTCAGGTCGGATCGGGTTTTTTTAAGTGTGATATTCGGGTCGGGTCGGGTTCGGGTTTAGGGTGAAAAAAATCGGACCGACCCGAAAATATATATAATTCAGATCAGGTCGGATTAAGTCACTGTTTTTATTAAATAAAAATATTTTTTTATTATTTCGGGTCGGGTCGGATGAAACTTTATTTTGTTCGGGTCGGGTCGGGTTTTTAAGTGTGATATTCGGGTCGAGTCGGGTCGGGTTTTTTTAAGTGTGATATTCGGGACGGGTCGGGTTTAGGGTGAAAAAAACCGGACCGACTCGAAAATATATATAATTCGGGTCGGGTCAGATTAAATCACTGTTTTTATTAAATAAAAATATTTTTTTATTATTTCGGGTCGGGTTGGGTCGGATTTCTAATTCATATATTCTGGTCGGGTCGGATGAAACTTTATTTTGTTCAGGTCGGGTTTTTTAAGAGTGATATTCGGGTCGGGTTTAGGGTGAAAACAACCGGACCGACCCGAAAATATATAATTCGGTTCGGGTCGGATTAAGTCACTATTTTTATTAAATAAAAATAATTTTTTATTATTTTGGGTCGGGTCGGATTTCTAATTCATATATTAGGGTCGGGTCGGATGAAACTTTATTTTGTTCAGGTCGGGTTTTTTAAGTGTGATATTCGGGTCGAGTCGGATCGGGTTTTTTTAAGTGTGATATTCGGGTCAGGTCGGGTCGGGTTTAGGGTGAAAAAAACCGGACCGACCCGAAAAAAATATATAATTTTACCTTATATATTTAGGAATAATTATAATAATACCCCTCTATATATAATTTTTTTCAATTAAGTCAATGTTTTTATTGAATAAAAATAATTTTTTTATTATTTTGAGTCGTGTCGGGTCGAGTTTCTAATTCATATATTGAATAAAAATAGTTTTTGGTATATTTTTTGGTAACTAATTATTGAATAAAAATATTTTTTGGTATTTTTTTAACTAATTAACATACTCCGATTGGAATGTATCGAAATATTGCTCTATCTTTTGGTAACTTATTAACATATTTTAATTGCGATGATTTTAACTTATAATTTTTATTAACATGATTTTTATAATTTATTGAAATGAATAATCAATCAATAAAATAAAAATTTAATATTTTTTTAATTTTTTATAATATATTATTACATGTAAATTGTAAAATAATCTAAAATAAAGAGAGAAAAATAAGAATGACAAATATATTATTTTACATTACTGAAATCAAATTCATCTGATATGTCTGCGAACCAAACATAATATGGAATTGGATTTCAATTCCTACATATTCTAATTCCTTTACAGATTTTAATTCTCTTATAAACATTCCAACTAACCAAACGTCACCAAAAACCCAATTTCCTATTTCGTAGGTGACAAAGGGTTGGCCGGAACTGAAATTTGATGATTGATGGATGGGCTTCGATAATGCGACAAAGGTCATGGCCGATGTTGCCACGATGCAAGAGAAACACAAAGGAGAAGTGACGGTGACGGCATTGCCCTTTGCTACAGATTCTCACCCTTTGTCGCCGATCTGGGTGTTTGTTGTTCGGCCACCCATTGTCAATGTCGTCTCCTTGTAGCCGTCGGTGAACTCCAATGAACCATTGGGGTTTTTTTGGGGGCATTTTTGAAAATTGGGGCTTTTTCAGTATTTTAGATAGAATTGAGGTTTTTTCGAAAATAAAACATTTTAAACTTTTTTTAAAGAATAAAATTTTCAAAATTACTAGATAATGACATGTGTCACTTATCGAGCTTTTTTAACGGCTGTTAGGACCGAGACACTTAAAGTGATAACATTTATAAGACACCTTAATGTTTAAAAAAAATTTGGGCACTAATTGAGGAAAAACAGTATAATTTTATTTTATAATTAAGCCAATTAAATATAAGGTAGACTTTAGATTTTAAATTGTAAAGCCTAAAAAACTTGAGAACTAGTGAAGTAATTTCACCATTTTCCTTTGGCTGGCAAATTAAAAGATATAAAAAATGTTGGTTGCCGAACATTAGATGAACATATTCACGAACGTTAAACAAACATGTTCACAATCATTAAATGAACGAACATTAACACATTTAAAAATAAATAAAACGGACACAAACACAACTTTATTCAGTCAATCTAAGTTCAGTTCATTTACACCTGTGTCCTGGCTGCATGGACCTGTCTGGAAATATTAAGCTAAGGCCAGCATTGACCTGAACCATACATTCTAGGTTCATCGACTTGTAATTTGATCCTCCCATTTAAGAATTCCATTCATTACAAGAATCAAATCAACATGCTCAATTCAATACAAGTATATACTCTCTCTCTTATCTATCCCTCGTTATTATAAAACACTAGTCTTTTACATTTCGCCTACATTGTAGTTGCTCAAAATGAAACTTCATAATCTTTACACTTAAATCGATATCGGAGACGGTATGCCGGCTTCTTAAGTAGTCAAACCATCTCTAGGAGTTATTCCCTTGGGGAAAAACATCCCACGTTTCTCTTGCGTGATGACATCGTATCCGAAGCAAGATGAATGGCCTGCCAACTTTCTGGCTTTGACCAGCAGTTCATCTTTCTATCTTGTTCGAATATGTATATATTGATTGCATAGACTGAAGGAAAATGAAAAACTCGGACGCTTTTTGGTGTGTTATTCACAGGTGGTTCTACTGTCCTTGCCATATCAAAATTGGAAATGAACATCACCTGGCAGTCTTTTTGGAACTCGGGGTGGTATGGCACGATGGATCTATTCGATCATAAAAGGAGATGGAAGATTAAGAATCCCGAAACTCCTAGTAAACAGAATCCCTCGGGGAAAACACGTACTGCTATGGCTGCAGGACAACGATCACAAAAACAATCGTTACAATTAGCTATAATTGAAGAATGATAAAAACAAATGCATGTGAGCATGTCCAATTGGCATTTCTATGGTTGAAACCACCATTAACAAGCTATATATAGATGCAAGCTGGAAGAATGTTGATGAATGCTGAAAACTTTGATACGGCAATACGACCTTCAAGCTTGAACAAATATGTATTAAGTAATACAATTCTTTATAAAACGGAAAACAGAGCTTAAGCAGCATAACATAGTTTGCTTATCATAGATGCTTACATGACGGAGATTGCGCAGATGGAGGCTTAGCTACTGGTGCAGAAACTGGTCCTTTTGTACGCTCCATACCTTGGCCGGGACGGGATCCATAAGACACTGAAGCTAATGGTGGTAGACTTGGGGGAAACTGTGACTGGGGACTACTAATTACTGGTGGGTGCTTAGGAATTACGTTGGAATGAGATCTTAATGGAGGGCTTGCAGGACGAGAATACGGACAAGGGGGCGGGGCAGGAGTCACTACACTAGAGGATGCAGGTGAAATTGAAGGGGGAAGAGACGGGACGGTTCTAGGATCCAGTGAATGCAGGGGACTATGAGCAGATGGAGAAACAGCATTGCAATTAGGACAGGGTGGAAAATGATGAATATTGGGTGACAATGCTGGCACCTGAGGTGGTACAGCCTTGGAACGCGGTGAAATCGATGGCCCTGGAGCCAAAACCGGTGAAGGAGTAGGAGGGGTACCGTGAAGTGTACCCTTCAAACAAGATGATAAACTAATGCTTTTAACTTTACCGAAGACCGAGTTATTGAGACCAAGATTCCTTGCAGGAGAGTTAGTAATGATTTGAGCCAACTGCTTTAATCTCTGAGGCAGAAGGTTACCATAATTATCAGAAATCACTGAAGCCTGAACTATGACTGGTGACGACGTAGTGGAGCCATTTTGGTTTGTTAATTGCACAAACAAATTCTGCAACGAACAACTCAAAATAATTATAAACACAACCAACAAATAGGAACCAAATTTCAAGGCGTCAAAGGATACAAATCCATACGGCAAATAACCTACTATTCCCTCAACCCACAACCCAGAATTTCCATTCCAATGCGATGATGAAACTTCAAGGCCCTAATTTCCTAAACTAGGGTTATAAGGCTACCATAGATTCACCCAAAAACAAAAGCATTGGTGAAATTGTTATACAGCTTAAGTCGTACCTCATAAGACCTCAGGCGTAGTCCATACTTAAGCTGATCCTTCAACTCAACGCATTTGTCATCTATTTCAGATATCGAGTTATACAAAGTAAAATTAAACAGAAACTGGGTTATCTGAAAGATGGAAGCAGATTGTACAGGGATTACAGTGATGTCCCCGGGAAACTTCAAGATCTCAAAATCAGAAGGATGCCCAAAAATTGATGTCGTCAAAGTCAGATTGGATTGTCGAAGGAACAGCTCAACCAACGACGATTTCAGCACACTAAGGTGTACTGGACTTATCGGACTCTTTACGGGATCAGATAAAACACCAAATACCACTTTAGTAGAGTTAACACCCGAATGGTGAATGGATAGGATAGCTATCTGTCAAATGAGTAGCTTTTAGATCAAATTTTCAATAATATATAGAGGTAAATAAGTAATGTGATAGAAGAAGTTGAGAGTAGAACCTTGGTTTGCGGAACACAGATTTCTTCATAGATATCATACTCTAACTGTTCAATATGCTGAACAAGCTCCGAAACTGGTTTCTGAAGGGTAAAACATGCATGAATCGGAGCTGCAAAGAGTAAATGAATATATAAGCAAGAAACAAGGAAAATTACTTGAGAAGAAGCTTGGAATCAATAACTTACGGGAAATTATCGCAAGTCATGGAAGACGGTTGGAATCAATTAAGAAACAAATCAAATGACCAGTTACTAAGCCGATCAACCGGTTATCAATTTAAAGTATGAAAAACAATAAAACATAGCCCTTGTCTCACAAATTTGACATCTTTATTTACAAGAAATAAGGGGGAGGAAAGCATTGAATCAAACCATTAAGTGTTCACTTCTTTTGCTAAAAAGAGAAATACTCTAACTATAGGAAAACAATCACTTCCTATGATACAATTATAATTGGAACCACATTTTATCATAAATACAGCAATTTCCCCACCTGAATGTCATTCTAAAACACCAAAATTCCAAATTTAAAATAAATTTTGAATCTATGAATTCACAAGCTCCAAAGGGTAAACAAAGTATCAGGTATCAATTTACAACAAGGGCCATCAAAGAATCCTGATTGCAATATAATTACAAGGTAAATAATAGATCAATCAGGGAAATACCCAATAGCTCTAAACAATCGAGGATCTAAATTAAGCAAAAAAATGCAATGAAAAAACAAAAAATCTATTTACCAGAGACATCAGACAAACCCAGAATTAAGCCCTAATTACACGAAGAAGATGAAAAACTAAGTTTGAAAAGAAGCCTTACTACTAAGCTTAATAGCTTGCTTAGCATCGAACCCAGAATTCACTGATCGTATAGGAAGGATCCAGAAGATCCCAGGCAACAAAACCGACAAGCTGAGGAACAAGACAAAAACACATCTGAAACTGAACTCATTAGAAAGGCTCGACAATACCCGCCAACATCTCCCACATAAGTGCCCTTCATTGTTCCCTGATTCAAGACCCTGCTCTCTTTGTTGCTGCAGACTTCGGTCCTCATTTTTCCCCATTGAAAGTGCATCTGGGGAAAAAAAGGGAAAATACCCAACAATATTTCTACCTCTCTCTTTCTGTCTGATTGCCTTGGGTTCTTTACTTTTTCTTTTTTCACTTCCTCTCTCTGGAAATCTCCACTCACCTACAACACCAACAACAACAACAAGGAGTAACTTTGCAGAGGATTGTGGGAAGAGAGGGTGTGGATTGAGAGACGAGCGTTAATGGTGGGCAATGCATGTGCCCCTCTCTCTCTCTCTCTGTATTAACCACTGGGGTAAATTACACGAGTTACCACCAAACTATTGTCATAAATCATTTTGACAACCAACGTTTAGAAACAATCAAACAGACCACTCAACTATTTAAATGGTTCATTCAAGCCACTATACGTTAATTTTTAATAGAAGTGGTACGTGACAGTTAATAAAATTGGCATAATTATATATTTTATCTTTTATATTCACATATTCTATCAATTTAGTCACTATATTAATTTGATTAAATAAATTTAATCATCCAATCTGGATGTGTCACATGTCATTATACGATTGGAGATTGAATTTAATTTATTTTAATATTTTAATTAAATAATTTTCCCACGAATCAGGTGGTGACATGTTCACCACCTGTGTAAAGGGAAAACAAATTAAACACACAAAGCAGCTTATGGGGTGGGGAGGGATTCGATTCCCTGGGCAAGCCTTTGCCACAAGGCCAAGCTAATAGTATTTCACACACACATATATATTAAATTAATTAAAAAAATATAATAAATAAATTGTATTTTACATATATATTAAATTAATTAAATTTAACTTCTAATCACATAGTGACATGTGGCACCTTCGAATTAGAGGATTAAATTTATTTAATTGAATTAAAATAATGACTAAATTGATAAAATATGTGAATATTAAGAACCAAATATATAATTATGTCAATTTTATTAATTATCACATCATCACATCTGTTAAAAATTAACAAAAGTGACTTGAATGAACCATTTAAATAGTTGAGTAATCTATTTGATCATTTCCAACCTTAGTGCTCAAAATGATTTATGACCATAATCGGTGGTCACCCGTGTAATTATCTTCAATTTTGACAATACCCTTTTATTTGCTATCTCTAACACTCGTCTTGCCATTTTTGTTTACTTGTATTTAAAATTTGGGTAAAGTATAGTAATGGTCACTGAACATTTCTGAAGCTTGCATTTAGATCCCCCAACATTTAAAACTTGCAATACAGTCTCCCAACATTTATTCCGTTTACAATATGGTCCCCCACTTAAACCACAGTTAGAAAATTAGGATAAATTATATAAATGGTCATTGAACTTTTCAGTCACTTGAATTTAGGTCCCCTAACTTTTAAAACTTGCAAAACAGTCATCAATTTCATTCTAAACCCCAATTTCCAAAGTAATTCAATTTTATTCTAAACCCTAAATTCCAAAATACTTAAATTAAATTCAATTATGTCAAATTTATTATTATTTAATTTTATCTTATTTCATGTGATACATATTTTTTTATATAAATATAATAGTATAATTCTTATCTGTTGAAGAAATTTTTTAATTAAAAAAAGTAGTTAGGATATAGAAGATGTTGAAAATAATTCGAATTTTAAATTTATAAAATGTTATTTTGACGTATAAATAAAAGTGTAAACTACTCGATTGATAACTTAACTATCTAGCCCTTTTTACTTTTGTCATCGATCTTTTAAATTTAACAATCATACCACATAATTATTTAATTGTTTCAACTAAGCCACTAGTCGTTACCAATTAATAAAAATGATGATGTGGCAGTTAAAAGGAATTGGCATTATTATACATTCTGTCTTTATTATTTATATAATCAATTTGGTCCTAAATTAAAAAAATTTTAATAAATTAATCATTTAATTAGGATCTGACATGTGTTAGCACATGATCATGACACGTGTCATTGGTGACACGTGTTACCACCTAATTATTTATATATACTATCAATTTGGTCCTAAATTAAATAAAATTTAATAAATTAATCATTTAATCAGGATCTGACATGTGTTAACACATGATCATGATATGTGTTATTGGTGACACATGTCACCTCCTAATTAGAAGAAAATTAAGTTACAAAGAAGTAAAATTTGGGTCTTGGGCAAACTCAAACCTGAGTCACGCAAATGAAAGATACAGGGTGGAGTCACTAAGCTAACACCATCGTTTGTGTTAAGAGATATACAATAATACATATACTAATAGTATGACCAATGCCAGAATTTAACACACAAAGCAGCTTATGGGGTGGGGAGGGATTCGATTCCCTGGGCAAGCCTTTGCCACAAGGCCAAGCTAATAGTATTTCACACACACATATATATTAAATTAATTAAAAAAATATAATAAATAAATTGTATTTTACATATATATTAAATTAATTAAATTTAACTTATAATCACATAGTGACACGTGGCACCTTCGAATTAGAGGATTAAATTTATTTAATTGAATTAAAATAATGACTAAATTGATAAAATATGTGAATATTAAGAACCAAATATATAATTATGTCAATTTTATTAATTATCACATCATCACATCTGTTAAAAATTAACAAAAGTGACTTGAATGAACCATTTAAATAGTTGAGTGATCTATTTGATCATTTCCAACCTTAGTGCTCAAAATGATTTATGACCATAGTCGGTGGTAACCCGTGTAATTATCTTCAATTTTGACAATACCCTTTTATTTGCTATCTCTAACACTCGTCTTGCCATTTTTGTTTACTTGTATTTAAAATTTTTAAAAAGGTACGAATTTTTGCATTTGAAGTGTAGTTTTTATTTTTATCTTTAATTAATTTTTCTATTAAAATTGATGCACCACCGACTTTTTAGAGTTTGGAGTTTGGACTCCAAGTTTTAAGTCAAATGTAAATTATTGGAGTGAAAATAGAATTTAATTCTCAAATTTTATAGTTCTTTCAATTTGATTCTAAATTTATTTTTTGTTTATGTTAATTTTAAATATCAGATGTTTCTAATTTTAAAATTTTTTATTTACATTTTTTTTATTAAATAATTAATGATATTATAAAATGTTAAACATATCAAAATATATCATTTGAAAATTTTAAATCAATTATAATTTTATCATTTATTTTAGGGTAAAGTACACAAATAGTCCGCTGACTATAGGATATTTTATTAAAGAAAATAACTTCAGTGACCGAAAATACTTTATAATATACGATTTTAACCAATTTTTTTTGGATTTGCGAAAATAACCAACAAATTCGCAACGCGAACTCTAATTTCGCAACACAGTTTCCAAATTCGCAACGCGAATTTCCCAGATTCGCAACTCGAATTTCTTTTCCGCAACGCGATTTTCCAAATTCACAACACGTAACATTAGAGTTTCATAAGTTAACTTTCTTAATGACAGTTTGAGTTGAAGATTCATAGCTAAAGGCATATATTGTAAAACACCATTAACATTCTCCCATGACCCTCCAAAACACAAATCTATCCAAACATGATCAACAATAGATGATTTCATTCTACAAATTGTAAATTAATTTACTAAACAAATGAGCTATAAACTAGATATCATCACTAACTTAGAGAAAAACATACCTTTATTAAGTTGATAGTTGATAATTTGGGAGAGAAATCATTGAAAAATTATATAGAAATAAAATTATGTAAAAAAAATTAGAGATGGGAAAGGATGTCGTTGGATATAGGAACGGATGTCGCCGGAGAGAGTGGGAGATGGAGATGGAATGAGTTGCGATTTAGGGATTTTGGTTATGAGTTGTTGCTGTTGCGTAGTTTATATATCCAAAACATTTGTGTTGATAGTTGATAGTTTGAGAGAGAAATCATTAAAAAATTATATAGAAATAAATTATGTAAAAAAAAAATTAGATATGAGAAAGGATATTGTTAGATATAGGAACGGATGTCGCCGGAGAGAGTGGGAGATGGAGATGGAATGAGTTGCGATTTAGGGATTTTAGTTATGAGTTGTTGCTGCTGCGTAGTTTATATACCCAAAACATTTGTGTTGCGAAAATAAAAGTTGTTGCAAAATTAAAATTTGTGTTGCGAATTCAAAAATCAAGTTGCGAAAACAAAATTCGTGTTGCGATTTAGAAAATCTTGTTGCTAAAAGGAAACTTGTATTGCGAAAAAGAAATTCGCGTTGCGAATTCAGAAATCGAGTTGCGAATTTGAAATTCCGTGTTGTGAATTTGGATATCGCGTTGCGATTGCAGAAACTGAGTTGCGAATTTGGAAACTATGTTGCGAAATTGGAGTTCGCGTTGCGAATTTGTTGGTTATTTTCGCAAATCCAAAAAAAGATGGTTAAAATCGTATATTATAAGACACTTTCGATCACTGAAGTTATTTTCTCATTTTATTAAGCACATTGACTATTAAAAGTTACAAAATGTTCTCTCAACTATAGGGAGTTACTTTATTGAGTCTCATGACCATTAAAAGTTATAAAAGGGTAAATCAATTATTCATTCTGTTCCAAACTCGTTCTTATTCGTTAAAAATTAATGGACATCTGAGTTGGACGTAAGCATACTAACTTAGATATAATAGTCGTTTGAGATTATGAGTTCATATTTTAATATTTCTCAGTCAACAAGTTAACGTACAACTCAGTCTGCCGTCAAAGTTTTAATGAAAAAGGGTGAATTTGGAACATAAGGAATAATCGATTAACAATTTTATAACTTTTAATAGTCAAATGACTAAAAAACCAACTCCATATAATCGGAGGATTATTTTTTAACTTTTAATAGTCGAGACATTTAAAAAAAGTAATATTTTATAGTCAAATGACCATTTGTGTACTCTACTCTTATTTTTAATAGATGTCACGTGAATCAAGGTGAGAGAAAATTTAAAACTTTTTTATTATTTTAGGATCTTGGATGATAGAAAATTAAAAGTTAAGATTAATAGTAAAAAATAATATGATATTTACTGAAAAAATAAGGAGTTAATCTCAGTTTTTGATTTCACTCATCTAACGATCTTAAAAATTGTAAAATTAAAATTTTTACGCATTTTATTAAATTAATCTTAACTTGTAATAATTTAATAAATTAGAATTATAAGCAACGTGGCAATTGACATTAGAAACATATACAAAAGGGTCACCCCACTCACTTGCCTGGTAGACGGTACATATCTTTCAACTTCCTTTTATTTTTATTTTCTATATAATCATTTTTAATTTAATTTTCTTTTTTTTTTATTTAGTGGGGGAGAGAACAGGCTGACCAATAGAAACAACACACGCGGACCAATGGTAAGCCAAGGATGTACTTTGCAATCAATTAAAATGATAAATTAAAAAACATGTTAAGTTTTTAACGACGAGGTACTAAAATAAAATAAAATTTAAAAATTAGGTATGATTTTGAAGAAATTCAAAGTTTAAGCACTAAAAAGGACCAAAACTAGTAGTTTAGATACTAAATGCGTAGTTTGCCCTAAATTCTAAGTTTAATTTAGGTCAAATTATACAATTAGTCCCTATATTGTAAATAAATTATTGATTGTCCTAAAATCTAACTTGATCAATTACACTCCTTTATTTTTATTTATTTGTTTGTTTGTTTATTTGCATTTTAAAATCTTAGTTATAATCCAAATAATAGTTGACTTCGATTTAAAATGATCAAATCAGAGAATTAAAATTAAATATGAAAATCGCATATAATACATATAATAATAGTTGATTTTGATTTTAAAAAAAACTAAAAAACATTGTTCGCTTTAAATATAACACCATCGACTTGGTCTAATAAAAAATGAGTAAGAAGTCATAATTATAATATCATCAATTAAATTTTAACTAGATTTGTTTTGGAGTCAAAATACACATTCAAACATTTTAACTTGATCTGAATAGGTCGGATTTTTTTTTTAAAAAAAATGGGTTCGGGTCGGATCTATTCGGGTTCTTTAGAGGATATGTCTGGTTGGATCGGGTTCGAGTTCGGGTTTGAAGTGAAAAATAGACGACCTGAAAAATTTTTAAATTTACTTTATATATTTAGGAATAATTACAATAATAACCCTCTATATATTTTTCACCCTAAACTCGAACTCAACCTAAAAAAAATTAAATTTATCTTATATATTTAGAAATAATTGCAACAATAACTCTCTCAATATATATATTTATTTATTTATTTCGGGTCAAGTCATATCGAATTCAAGTTTTATATAAAAAAATCAATTCAGGTTTGAGTTAAATGTAATTATTCCTAAACTCATTAAGTTGAATTTCAAGTAAAAGATATATATTTTTTAGTTGGGTCGGATTTCGATCCGTTTTGATATAAAATCAGACCCTTTCCCCCACAAAAATCATGGCCTAAATTTACATTATTGGTAACATTAAAAGCCCTACACTTTTTCTCAATTTAGATGCTTGACATTATCAAATGGCCATGGCCTACCTTTCTCACTATGTTAAAGATTCCCGTCCTTTGATAGGGATAAGGAACCAACGCCATCCACTCCTCCACTTTCCTCAAACCACCGATTTGGATAAAAAAGTAAATTTAATTAAGATTTTGATCAAATCTTATTTTGGTTGATATATTTTAGAAAATGTGGATTTATATTAATTTAAATATCAGTTTTACGTAAGAATGTTTATCGGTCGACTCGGGTTAAGTTTTTCGGTCCATCTATTTCTTACTAAAATATAAAATAATTTATTTTATGAACTCGGTTTACTATATCATTCGTGATTTTCTTTGAATCATATCTATTAATTTTAACATAACTTCTAAATATTTGTCCACCCCTTTTTAATTAGGACTACGGATAACCGGGTGAGTCGGGTCGATATAATATTTTTTAAGTAGGCATACATTATATGACTCTTCACCCACTAACTTCCTTTATCTTCATCGAAGCAAATTATTGTTCATACGGTAGATCTGCGTTCGAGTTCAAAGCTTTCTTTCTACAGCAAAGAAAATGGAAGCTCTCCTTTCCCAATTCACCTTCCTATCAGATCAAGCTTTACAGGACAAGAACTTCGATCCATCGGCCATTGAAGACCTAATGAAGCTCTTCGAGATCGAGACTTACCAGGCATGGACGGCCATGGAGCTGGAACAGGAAGAGCAACTAAAACAAGCCGAGATAACCATGCAGGAAGCCGAGGACTACCTCGACTCGGTGATGGAGACGGCGATGGACGAGTTCAGGCGGTTCGAGGAGGAAATGGAACGCGATTCGAAGGACGAAGCCGACGGCCTAGAAGATGCGGCGGAGAAGGCTAGGAAGATGGGGAATTTGATGGAGAAAGGAGCGACTATTGCCTCTAAATTATACGTTGAGGCGGCTATGAACTCTGCTACTGCTTCCATGAAATCTGCTTTCAAGGGGCTTTCCACCAACAAGGTCCATCCTTCATGAAAAAAAACCTATTTATGTTGTTTTCTTCTGTGATTTACGTGTATGATTTAAAAGGGACCTTACGGGGGTTTCTATGAATTCTGTTTTGTAATCCATGAACTGGGTTTCAAGTTTTTCATGTGTTGCGTTTACCGTGATTACGGGTAATATCGCAGTAAAACCGTCGGCGAACAATGAAAAAAATAGTTGCAACCGCGAAACTTTAGCAGTTACCGATTTACTGAATTCATCTATTTGTTTAGGGTTCTTTGGTTTTCACTGAGTTCAATATGAGCTGAGATTGGAATCTGCCTGACTTGAATACTGAATATAATCTTTTAAAGAAGTATAAAATTTTCAAAAAATTTATGAATTAGCCCATACGATTATAGAACTTGCTACCCTCAACGGCAGATTGGTTGGTTTTTTTAAAGGGGTGAAGTAGGAGACTCCTTGTCCCCTTACCTTTCTGTGATCACTATGAATTTCTTATCGAATTTGCTGGATAAAGCAACGGAGCATGGTGCTATCCGGTATCACCCAAAGTGCCATAGGATTTAGCTTACTAACCTCTGCTTTGCCGATGACCTGCTGGTTTTCTCCAATGACACTGTTAGTGTTCTATTTTAAGTGTTTGAGGGTTTCTTAAAGTTTTTTACCAGTTTTCGGGGTTCAGTTGAATGCAACCAAGTCTTAGTTCTTTTCCTCTGGTGTTAAAGATGATGCTTATTTGTGTATCTTTTGGTGCTCCTTCGACTTAACAAGAAACACTATGGAGTATTTTGCATGGTTTTTCAACCATGTCTTTGTACTTTCAACACCATGCTGCGGTCCCTTGTGCTCGAATCCGTGACCTCTAGGAGCAACAACGATTCCTTTAACCACTTAGATAGGTTGGTTAGTGCATTGCCTTGACTTCTTTGAGTATGGATTACTAAGTGCTGCTGAATTATTCCAATAAAGTTAATGGTGGATTGCTTGACTTGTTCTATGAAACCATCAACATCATATCCATTTATGTTCATCCTGGATTCCTGATGGACAGTGAGTGCTCTTCATTCTTAGTTTGTGCAGCTACTAGTGTCCCAAAATTCTGTAGCTGTTGCTCAATAACTCCTATCAAAGCCCAAAATCACCTAAGCGTGTCTCTCATGGCTCCTTGGGCCCATGATCAACTCTTCTCCTTCTTATTGGATGAATTGAAAGCTTTATTTCAAAAAAAAAAAAAAATCATACAATCACTTTTAAAATATAGTTGGAAATTTAGTAACCCTTTCTTTTTCCTTAAGCCTATGGCCCAATCCAACCCTCTTTAGCCCTATTTTTTCTATAATTTCATAAATTGTTTTGTTTTTACCCTCTTTTCGTTCTCTTATTAATTCATTCAATTTTAATTTAATCTTGTTTTTCTCTTTTTTCAAATATTAGTCTTCAATTTATCAAATATTAGTCTTCAATTTTTTTAATATTTATTCTCTTGTAATTATATTTAAGGTATTTTCTTAATAAAGTAATAAAAAATAGTGTTTTTTAATACCTAGCATTATATTTTTGTTACGTTTTGGCCACATGCCATTAAATAAAATAATACCACTGACTTGATAATTTTTTTTAATGATGATGTGATATTATCTTATAGTGATATAATAACATAATAAGTGTGCGTTTGGTTCACGGAATGTAAGATTACCAGTGGGAATAAAAGATTACCAGGGAATAGGATTACTGGGAATGTTGTATTTTGTGTTTGGTTGGTTTAGCAAGAATGTAAGATTACAGTGTTTGGTTAAAAGAATAAAATATTATTGGAATGTATATTTGACCAAATTGTTCTTATTATATATTTGTATAATATTACAAATTGTAAAATATTTATATATTTTCTTTAAAAAATTAAATTCATAATATTTATATAAATTTTTTTACAAAATTAAAAATATAAAAAAGGTTTAATGAAAGGGTAAAAAAATTTTAACCCCTGAACTTTATATAAAATTTTAATTATAGATTTTTTTTGTAAATCTAAAATAATTTAAGGATAAATTTGTAATTTAACTTTCGTAGAATTTTTATTATTCAATAACAGAAGAATGATATTTTTGAAAAAAAATAAAAATTTAAGGGCATTTTAGTCCAAAACGCCGGTAATGTTACAATAGATAAGAGAAGGGAGGTAATGACATTCCCGGTAATATACCCCAAAAAATCTACTATTAATAATAAAACATTACCGGAAATAAGATTCCCGGCCAACCAAATATGAGAATGTGGGATTCTGATCCCATGTGAGAATCCCACCATCCTTGAACCAAAGAGATAAATATATTACTTTAAGATAGGCGAGCGAATGAGGAAGAAGCTGGGAGCAATAGCTATAGCCATAGATTCTATCATCTAAAAGCCTGTAGATGGTTCAAACTAAATAGTGCGTTGGGTGTGGATTCGCATGCTAAACAGTTGGACTGAATTGAATTTTAATACAATATAATGGATCACAGAAGAATTATTGTCTTATTATCAAGGACGTGACATGAATGAGTAATTAATGAAAGTCCTCGTCTCTGACTTACTTGCAGGTAGACTACCGACGGCCCAACCGAGAGCATGCATTTGCTAAAATATAGGGTAAACTATGTATTTAGTCACCTATCTGTTCTCATAGTTCAGTTTTGATCATTAAACTATTTTTAAAATTATATCTAGCATTATATTTTTGTTACGTTTTGGTCACATGCCATTAAATAAAATAATACCACTGACTTGATAATTTTTTTAATGATGATGTAATATTATCTTATGGTGATATAATACAATCATCGTTGATTTTTTAACGAAAAATAAACAAAATATAACCAAAACATAGTATTAGGTATGATTTTAAAAAAATATATATTTATGACTTATAATACTACTAATAATTTTTTAAATCTAAAGTGTATGGTAATTAAATTCTAAAAAAATGAAAATTGAGGGACTTGGAACATATTTTAATTGCATATAGAGCAGAGGATACTAATTCACTAATATTGATTCAATATTAATAATTTTTAACTTAATTAAAATGTATTAGAATTTAAAAATTAATCAAAAATGGGTTATAATTTAGAGTTATTTACTGTGATTAATTATATATTATTAAGCTATTAGTTGATTATTTTAACACACAAACATGACATCTACTTTTATAATGAATTGTAGTACTCATATTTTATGTGTTATCGTACTCAATAAATAATTAAATATGCCTTTGATGGGTCTATGTAACGATAGATGAAAGGTTGGTGAGCACAAATGAAGAAGATAATAATAGTAGCTGTACGGAGCAAATTAGGATTCAAAACTTTACACGAACCAAGCGACCTCGATGATAAAAGAATTGTTATTTTCTGAAATCTAATCTCGGGCTCGAGCATTAGACATGTTAAGAGTGTAAACGTTTAATATACAATAATCGAGAGTTATCCTTAAATAAATATCATCTTGTACTTAAATAAATAGGTTCATTAAATGGGGTAGGGCCCCTGCCGTAAATAAGGCATGTGAAGTAAAATAGGCGGGAATGGAGAAATCATTGTGGGTACTTTATTTACAAATAGCAGTAAAGATCAATTACATAAAATATTTCTAAACTATTACTCGTATTTGAATATGATTTTAAACTTTAAAAATATTCCAATTATGTCATAAAAATAGTATTAAATAGATGCCCTCGTAAGCCTGACAATCAATTTATGTATTAAATACTCCATCGATCCCATTAAATGTGTCTCTTTTGATTTTTAAAGTTATCTCGTTCAAAGTGTCTTATTAGGAGAGTCAACAAATAACAATATTTATATTTTCTTTTTTACCATTATATCTCGCTATTTTATGACTATCAAAACAAATCTGTCAAATATATCAATAATATTTTAGGGATAATTTTGTCATTTATTTTAATTAAATATATCTTCTAAAACTATGTGTATAGCCAATATTAAACACAAATAATGAGACGGAATGAGTATCAATTTGAATATGATATAGTGTATGTTCAACTTATATGAAACTTAAGTTATTGATGTAGTACGTACACTCGTATACATAATTTAACATCTATATATATATATATATATATCTCATAAGGATTTTATTGATATTAATTTGAAGTCTCAATTGGAAGATTTTGAAGTTTTGGTACCAATTTAAAATTAAGTTATGGTTTGAGGCATTTTACTTGAGTTAATCCCTGTGGGAATCGAGTCAACTGAGCGATTCAATTCAGACACTGTCAAATCTGACTGAAACGTCTTTTCGGTTCATTTTTCTCTCGCTATCTTCATCATTAACGCATAATTGCCTCCTCAAAGCTAAGGGGACAGTGTGTGGGGACCGAGTGGGGCCTTCACTAGAATTTCAGTCTAATCATACGGTGACACGTGTTCCAGCTCTTCAAGATGGTTTTATCTCCTTCTTTTTGGTGGCCCACACTCACGCGCCATGGCGAGAGCGTGGAGAGGGGGAGGTTAGGTATATTTTGAAACGTCGACGTCGGCGATTAAATTCGGTCCCTCGTTGCTCGGGCTATTTCCAATTGCTTGTTCTGACAAACTCGTCCCATTCCACGAATTCAAATAACCTTTCAGACTAATAACTAATTTTTTTTTTAGTGTTCGAGCATCAAAGATTATAGTATGAGTGATTTAACATTTAGTATTAAATAATTAAAAATATTTAAAATATATATTAATTTATAATTACCTTAATTTAATAAAAAAAATTAAGTATTTGTTGAAAAATAATATTTAATAAAGAATCTTAAAAATATAGGGTTAAGTTACAATACAACTTTTATAATACTTAACCCAAGTCGCTCTCCCTTTCCTTTCTCTTTTCTTTTTCGATTTTTTTTAGTTTGTATCGTTTGTTATATATCATACCAGCTTTTTCTTCTTCGATTTTATTTAGTTGATGGCGACATTTGTTTTAATGCTGGTTGCTGACCTCCAATTCTCTTTTCCCTTTGTTTTTTTTGTTTTAATAAAAACAATTCTACCTTTATGGTAGTTTATCTATGCCTTTATGGCATGCTTATCTCTATCTTTGTGGTACGTTTATCTCTGACTTATCGGTCGTTTGACATCTCTTTTTTTTATGTTTGCTCAAGATAAGATTAGACGACGCTGCGACTGATCAAGATGACACTTGTTAAAAACTGTAATGATTTACATGTCAAATGTTTAGGGTGTAAAACAACTTTACTTTCGTATATATTAAACTTTAATGTGCTTCATTTATATTCTGAATATATTTTATTCTGATTAATTTTAACCTAAATTAAACTATTGATCAATGAACTATTAATAATTTTAATTTGATCATTATTCTTTTAATTTTGCCGATAAAATTATTTAACTTCTTAATGTAAAAATATAAAAAAATTTAAACTAATGTCACATGAGCTACATATTAAAATGTATATGGAATTTATTTAATTATAAATCAAGTATTAAATTTATTTTAGTCGCTTAAGTGTTTCTATACCCTCTCTAATATCTAAACCCGAAGTGTCCATTGCCTACATAACTTTCAATTACATATGGAGATAAAAGTTGGATTAAAATTCATAATTATGTGCATATATTTATAATGTTTATTATTATTATTATAAAATATGAATAAATTAAGTGATTAATTATGTTATAAAGTCATAAGATATTAGAAATGTCATGGAAATAAAAATATAGATACTATTAAAGTTGTATTTATAATTCAATCAACTATATAAAAGGGTTATGGTCCTCAATAAATAGATCCTCTCGTATTTACTCTTATCACCGTCAGAGAGTTTATACTTAAATGAACTCTATCTTCTTGAAAGATCACAACCAAATAAAGGCTTAAAGATTTTAACTCGTCAATTAATATAGATATACTTCCGTAAATCTAGTATTTATTGATCTTAATGATTTGACATGATTTAATCATAGTTGTTTTCATAATTATTATGGTTTGGTTATAACGTTAAAATCCACTGAACCCTTTTTTGGCTTTAAAATTTTACTTAAGAAACGTTTAATTATTTATTAAAGAATATAATTTTTATTTATAAAGTTAAACAAATCTATCTGTCAATATATTTTTTGTATATAATAATAATATAAATTACATTCTTTAAGTAAAGAATTTAAGTTCAATTTTTTTGAGTATTCTGAATAAAAAAAAGAATATTATGAGGTTTCTTTTCAATTTAAATAATAAATATGGTAGGACTTGCAATTCAAAAATATATTCGATATAATACGGTGTCAATGGATTATTTTTTATTTTATTCAGATGCTAATTAAATAGCCGAATTTTATTTATGGCATTATTAATTGATTGTTTCTGATTTATTCGGACACAATTAATAGCCCGAATATATTATTTCCAATTCGTCTCCCTTTGTGAAACACTATAAATACCATGCTAACCCACTAGGTTAAACACGGTTCAAAAAATCTATTTTTTCTCTCTCGTTTTCGGTGATAGTCTCTAGCAAGATTTGGTTAGTGATCTTGCAAGTTGTGTTATTGTGCGCTGATCATATTGTTGTTGTATCATGGGAAACAAACGACCAAGATATCTTGAGCACCAAGGAGTGGTCGAAAATCTATCTTAAGGAAATTGCGTTGTTGCATGCCTCAACCTGATTCGAGTTCGATATCTTGTTATTATTCGGGTTCTTTACTCTAAACTATTTCTTCTACTTTATTAATAAAATTTGTTTTTTTATTTTCGTCTCGGATTGTATAACAATATATTTTCTAAATACCCTCAACCATTTTATAAGAACATTTAATAGAAGCTGATGCTCGAACTCAAAACTTTAATTATGCTATAATAACCTATTCGTAAGGTGGTCCAAATATATATTTTAATAATTTAAAAAACCAACTAAGAGCGTGGAGAAACGCGCTATACGATGAGTGGGAGCTTATTTTCAAGAGTGTAGAGACATGTCAGCACAGAACGTATTGTTTAACCTCTAATTTCTCTCTATAAATCAAAGCAGTCTAGGGTTTTCTTCTAGCTGGACAAACAGAACAAGAGCTCTGTGTTTTTCCTTGCTTTGACCCGTTTTCTTTAATTCTTGCCCCGGAATTTTTCTAGAAGAAACCTTTTAGGGTTTTCTTTTTAGTGGTTAATAAAGCAAGAAAGTTGATGGAAATGGGTTGTCTTTGAGAGGAATGTTGGCTGGCTCGATGCTAGGGCTTTGAGCTTTGGGTTTTGAAATGATCAAAGTGAAGGTATCGGACCAGGCTTCATTCCTCACGGCTCCGCCGGAGAATTCGAGCGATGATCAAAGAAGAAAATCAAGGAGAAACGGTTGATGGGAATGTTGTTTGGCTCGAGGTCATCTAGGTTGACGATCTTTGTATTTCCATGAGATTTTCTTGGATTTACTTTTTATTTTCCGGGAAAGTTTCTGGATACATATGTTTAGCCCTATATGATCTCGGACCAGGCTTCATTCCCGTCAACCAAACACTTCCTCCGACCTGTTCCTGTCAGGAGATGCTGTTGTTGTTGCATGGAATCCGTTTGACCCACTTGTCGGAAATGCTAACGGACAAAGATCAAAAGATGTCATTGACTTGGTTTTAATTTTGCCTCCTCTTTTTTGTGGACCTTTAATTTGTCTTTTTTTTCTCCCTTTGTTTCATTGCAAATCTTCCAAACATAAATGATAAATCTGTGGTCATAAGTATACATAATTAATAATTAATTCACCTTCACATGTACGTATGTGGTATGTGTGTACGCAGTTGAATGTGCATGTTCAGTCTGTATAACTGTTATATATATTTGATTAAACTAAGACATTACAAAGGTAGTAAATGTTCTAAATACGGTAAACCATTTGATAATAAACGTTGAGTCACCCTGTTGCACCCACTACAGCAAAATTGGCTTGTTGCGGCGTTTTTTTACCTATAGCGGCATTTTTACGCGTCGCTAAAAACACATGCGGCGTTTTTACAAGCGCCGCTAAAAGCGTCGCTGAAAATAGCGTCGCTAAAGTTTGCGGCGTTTTTCAAGAAAAAACGCCGCAATAGGTGTTGATATTTAGCGGCGTTTGATAGACAAATGCCACAATAGGTGTTGATATTTAGCGGCGTTTGGAAGACAAACGCCGCAATAGATGTTGATATTTAGCGGCATTTGGAAGACAAACGCCACAGTAGGTTTCGATTTATAGCAGCGTTTTTCTCAGAAACGCCGCAGTAGGTGTTGATTTTTAGTGGCGTTTTTATCACAAACGCTGCAATAAGTGTTAAGGTTTAGCGGCGTTTTTTAGCTTAAACGCCGCAATATGTGTTTGATTTGGCGGCGTCTTTAATACAAACGCCGCTAAAGATCGATATATAGCGGCGTTTTAGAATACAAACGCCGCTAAATTACACATAATTTAACAGTTCTAAAAATTATGCTGAATGCCCCAAATCTGTTTTTTCAACCTGTTCCATTATCCAACAAACAAAACAACAATAACATCAAAATCTATATCCATAACAAGCAACATCAAATCCAATATAATAAATAAAAGTTTTCATTAACATAATATAAGTTCAGTGAAACACGGTCCAGTAACATTAACATAATGCTCATAACATAAATGAGTCTACGATAGTGGATTCTGAGGTTGCGTTTTCTGTATCATCAGCATCATATCATTGAGTCGTTTTTCAAATTCTTCACATCTCTGCTGATATGTTACTTCTCTTTGTGCTGCCGCTGCCTCTCTTTGTGCTGTCGCTGCCTCTCTTTGTGCTGCCACTGTTTCTCTCTCTGCTTCCGCTGCTGCTCTGGCTGCTTCCGCTGCTGCTCTCTCTGCTTCCCTTGCTTCATTTTCCGCTTTCAAGTTAGCCATTTGTTGATCCATCTCAGCCAACTTTTCTTTTAAACGACCAACTTCTAATTGGGAAGATCGAGACTGTGATGACATGTACTGTGATGAACTAGATCCAAAATATTTGGTGGGAGTAACAAATGATCCTTGACAGCGCACCCGACCATATCTTTCAGGACCCAAAACGTCATTAATAGCTTGGTTTTCAATGTAATCATCATTAGCAATACCTTGACTCGAAGTAGTAATATGATACTCCGCCCTTTTCTCCCTCAATTTTTCCTAATAATAAAGTGAATAATTAATTAAAATAAAAATGTCATGGTACAAATATAAATAAGTAAGGTAAATTTAAAACATCTACCCAATAAACGTACCATAATTTCTGCAGCGTCAGCAGTCATAGGAGTGCCATCCTTCTTCGTATGTGTCATGTCGAAGAGTTGGATTCGACCAACTTTAGAACCGGATGTATTTTCCTACAATGTATCATAATGTAATTACTATGAGGTAGTATGTACATGGAATAAATAAAATAATTTCAATAATCTATAATACCTCCTCATGAGCTATACAAGCAAAGCTCTTCGATCCAGCCGTGTGCGTAAACTTTTGTTGTTGTCTGCTAGCAACACCAACATGCTCTCGGTCCTACAATGTCAAACAACCACTTTTAATGATGATTTAAATTTCGTGACAACTATTTACGAAAAAATACATCATACCTGTCCTTTTTGGGAACTCCAAAATCTGACTGCATCTTCCCATTGGTACCTGAGCATTCCTGGTGGGACTGTTTGCAACTTCTCTTCAAGGCTGAGATCATTCTTGAAGTATTTCTTCTTTAAGGAGCTCTTGTGGTCCCTCCATCTCTTCCCTAACGCTTGCTTCACATAATCGTCAGAGACCTCTAAAAAAAATTTCTCCTATACATAAAATAAGTTTGCACCGTAAGTATAAATTAATATTGAATTTCTATAGAGTATCTATTATAATGACATTATTACCTTAACAAAATCCAATGCTTGATTTTTGTTACTATTAGGCATTTCGCGCCATGACTCATAATTGATCGGTAACATATTCGCATTACGTCCAACTATGCCTAAGTAACCTGCTAGAAGACGTGATTCTGGGCCAATAGGTTGACCGACATCATTTCTTGAAACTTTGACACGATGCCCAGGAGGAAGTTGGTATAATTCCTTCAAAGTTGTACGTCCCCGAGTCTTGCGCGTTCCAGCATTTTCAACTATATAAGAAATTATTAAATGTTAGTGTTGAAAATGAACAAAGTAGTAAATAAAGTTTCGAATATTACCTTGAATGTCTACTTCTTCAACAGTTTCAGGAACTTGAGAAGACTTAGGTGCATTTGATTCCTCATTATTTATTTCTTCATGGTCTTCAGAAGCTCGAACAACCCGCAAATCAGTTATTTTTCTCCTCGGCATTATATCTGTAATAAACAAACATGAGTAATAAAAAATGATTTAATTAATGAATATATTGAAAGATAACATGTTAAAGCTAATAACATTATAAATAAATAAATGAAGATATAAAATCGTACAACAGTCTTATGTAATGTCAGTTGTCATAAATATCTTCATCAACGTCCTCCCGAACCCATTTCGTCTTTCTGGAGTTTCAATTACAAATGTTATGCTAATATTATACAGAACAAATAGAACCTAAACATAAGCTTTGAACTTCCTATTTAGTGCATAATAATATTAAGATGAATATAGAAATAATCACTCCTACATTATGAAATTTTAAATTACTAAAATTGTATGGGAGCAAGTGTATCTATGTTATTTTATAAAAAATATAAGGGTGAATATATAAAACTGCATAGTATAGAACTAATCATTTTCACAGATGTTTCATCGAAATCAAGCATTTATATCTAAACAAACTCATGTTTCAATGGTCAAGATAGAGGCATGAAGAACTTACAACGGAGTTCATTACCTTTGTTCCATGTCAGACAGGTTCAAGAAAAATAGATATGTAGATAAACGTGTTCAAGCAGACATGGAGGTCTTAAAGAAGCACAACCGGCAGAATCTATAAACGTTCTAACATTGTTTATAGTGTCATCTGTTTGATCAAGCGAAAATACATCTCAAAACTCCTCAAACTAACCATGTAGACATTAACAAGGAACTTGGAAGTTGCTAATAAAGGATAAAGAAGACCATCAGTTTCCTTTTCCCCCCAGTGTTCACTTGATTTAAGGACCTTAGCTTACTAGTTTAAGGACTTGGTAAAACAAGTATGATACAAACTTTCTTGTTATGAAACTTAAGAGGGTCTTAGTGAATGCTTACTAGTTTGACCATTTTACTAATTCTTATATGGAATTCAAAGCTCCTTGGGATTCTAATAATTGTTTGGTTGCTATGTGTTATGATTAGGAGAGTTTGACTTCTAGGGTAAAACCCTTTAAGTTTTTTAATATTTGGACCTTACATGTATCATAGCATGAACTTCCATGACATGGACTTATATAATATGCCTAGCGATAGCTTAAGTTATGGAAAATCATAATCAAATCATAGTTTAATTTTCTTTTCATGGTATAATAATTGTATTAATTCATTAACTTAACCGATTGGATTTCATAGTAAGATTTATATCATTTAGAGTCATTATTTAGCCTATTGGATTATAAGTAACTATGGACACACGAATCCCCACCCAAACTGTCACTAAATAACATAGAATTATTTATCCCTTTAAATTATTGCCAATGACTAACAACATATCCCTCTTATTGTCGCCAAGTAAGGATCATAATCCATGAATCGTAATCCAACCCTATCATAAGCTCAAATGGACTCTATGTCATGCCAATTTATCCAAACTAACTTAACATCCAAGGACATATTCTTTTTAAACTTGTCACATACGAATTTTATCTTGGCGTACCAAGTAACATAGTTGAGCCTTAGCTCTTTATCATTCACATGGTTTCTTATCTTGGCTTACCTAGTAACATAGTTGAGCATTAACTCCTTATCATTCACATAGTTTTTATTCATGGATTTTCAGCACAATTTACCTTATTTTCAAAGAACATGTCATAAAATGTATTTTCACCACTGAAATTAACACATATTATGTTATTTTCATTCTTACGACTAACATAACATTAAAGCTTCACATAATGCATGCTTGCGTAGTACACATTATGAACACATAGAATTTATTATAACATATTTTATTTCATACTACATACGAAATTTATTTATTTCAAGATTTCATATCACACACATCATAGTCACATACTCATGAAACATAATATAATGTTCTATGGCGATAAAGAAGACCATCAGTTTCCTTTTCCCCCCAGTGTTCACTTGATTTAAAGGATAAAGAGGAACGAAGGCAAGTAAGTACCTTAGCTGCTCTTCCAAGGTTTAAGGACTCCAACAACTATAACAGCAACTATGATTAGGAGAATCAAAATGGCGATGCACATCCTCTTTCGTGTACTCTTCTGTCGATTCTTTGCTTTTTGAAGGACAACCGTCCCTGACTGGACATTACTGACTGTAGTTGAAACCTGAACAAGATTTCATTAACGCACAATGCCAAGCAAAAACACACCACTCGACCTAATATGCATACTAATAAATACTTGGTAAACCACCCATTCTAAGAGATTTGAGAATATGAACAAACCTGACTATCGATGTTGTCTAAAATTTCTCCTTCTGCTTCAACAAGAACTGCAAAATCAAGGTAAATCTGACAATAGCAACCCCATTAGAAAAGTTAACTCAGTTTAGTCCATAATACATGCTAATGCGCATCTCACGTTGAATCAACTACTAAGAGAAAGAAAGCCTAACCTGGGTATCGCGAAAAGCTTCTCATTTTCGTCGCGTAATTTTTGTTCCGAGTCTGAAATCAGAGAGAAATCGAAGGGAAACAAGGGAAGAAGGGTTAAGAAATGCTGGGTTGGATTTGGGATTTTACTTATCGACCGAAGAATGGTGTACTACTTGCGACGACGTTGGAGGCGAAGGAAGCTGGGCGCAGTGAAGGAGATGGCTTCTGTAATTGGCGTGAGGGAACGGATAATAGTGATGGAAAAGAGGGCTAGGGCTAGAGGAGAATTAAAACGGACTTTGCGGCGTTTAAATATACAAACGCCACTGAAGGGTAACCAATTACGGCGTTTTTAATTAAAAACGCAACTAAAGTACGCATCATTTGCGGCGTTTGTTAGAAAAATACTGCTAAATTACTAATACTTTGCGGCGTTTCTACGAAAACGCCACTAAAGTACGAGGCTATAGCGGCGTTTTCATACGAACGCCACTAAAGTAGGAAAGGACGTAGCGGCGTTTTCATACAAACGCCACTAAAATATAAATATTTTGCGGCCTTTTTTTATAAAAACGCCACTATATAATACACCTATTGCAGCGTTTGTAAAAAGCCGCCGCTATTGTAATACTCATTAGCGGCGTTTATATCTAAAAATGCCGCAAAATGTTTAATATATAGCGGCGGTTTTGGATACAAACGCCGCTAAATACCTTTATTTATATTAGATTAACATATTTTAAATATTTCATTTCTTCTATACATAACCTAAAGTTACAACCATACATTTTAATTAAAACAGAAGTACTTATGCATAAAACTACTTAACAACAAAATACATTATAATTTAGAAACATTAAAGTACTTATGCATAAAACTACTTATAACAACAAAATACATTATAATTTAGAAACATTAAAGTACTTATGCATAAAACTACTTAAAAACAAAATACATTATAATTTAGAAACATTAAAGTACTTATGCATAAACAGTCTTCACCATATTGTTCAGTACAATTTAGTCTTCAT